AGAAAACACGCTGGACGTGAGTATTACCAGCCTGTACACTGTCGTGAGGATAACTCGGAATTGCTCTTCAAATTTTGTTAAACCACGTAATACCGTCTTTCATGGCAAACCTGCATTTTCCATTCTTCAGGAGTATGTTGGTTCTCTTGATCACAGTAACTTTTTTTATTATTATACTTTAAGTTCTAGGGTACATGTGCACAACGTGCAGGTTTGTTACATATGTATACTTGTGCCATGTTGGTGTGCTGCACCCATCAACTCGTCACCACCCATCAACTCGTCATTTACATCAGGTATAAATCCCAGTGCAATCTCTCTCCACTACCCCCTCCCCATAATAGGCCCCAGTGTGTGATGTTCCCCTTCCAGAGTCCAAGTGATCTCATTGTTCAGTTCCCACCTATGAGTGAGAACATGCGGTGTTTAGTTTTCTGTTCTTCAGATAGTTTGCTGAGAATGATGGTTTCCAGCTGCATCCATGTCCCTACAAAGGATACAAACTCATCCTTTTTTATGGCTGCATAGTATTCCATGGTGTATATGTGCCACATTTTCTTAATCCACTCTGTCACAGATGGACATTTGGGTTGATTCCAACTCTTTGCTATTGTAAATAGTGCTGCAGGCTGGGCGCGGTGGCTCATGCCTGTAATCCCAGCACTTTGGGAGGCCGAGGCGGGCGGATCGCAAGGTCAGGAGATCGAGAACATGGTGAAACCCCGTCTCTACTAAAAAATAGAAAAAAATTAGCCGGGCGCAGTGGCGGGCGCCTGTAGTCCCAGCTACTCGGGAGGCTGAGGCAGGAGAATGGCGTGAACCCGGGAGGCGGAGCTTGCAGTGAGCTGAGTTCCCGCCACTGCACTCCAGCCTGGGCGACAGAGCGAGACTCCGTCTCAAAAAAAAATAAAAAAAAAAAAAAAAAAAAAAAAAAAAAAAAAAAAAAGTAAATAGTGCTGCAATGAATATATGTGTGCATGTGTCTTTATAGCAGCATGATTTATAATCCTTTGGGTATATACCCAGTAATGGGATGGCTGGGTCATATGGTACTTCTAGTTCTAGATCCTTGAGGAATCGCCATACTGTTTTCCATAATGGTTGAACTAGTTAACAATCCCACCAACAGTGTAAAAGTGTTCCTATTTCTCCACATCCTCTCCAGCACCTGTTGTTTCCTGACTTTTGAATGATTGCCATTCTAACTGGTGTGAGATGGCATCTCATTGTGGTTTTCATTTGCATTTCTCTGATGGCCAGTGATGACGAGCTTTTTTCATGTGTCTTTTGGCTGTATGCATGTCTTCTTTTGAGAAATGTCTGTTCATGTCCTTTGCCCACTTTTTGATGTGGTTGTTTTTTTCTTGTAAATTTGTTTGAGTTCTTTGTAGGTTCTGGATATTAGCCCTTTGTCAGATGAGTAGATTGCAAAAATTTTCTCCCATTCTGTGGGTTGCCTGTTCACTCTGATGGTAGTTTCTTTTGCTATGCAGAAGCCCTTTAGTTTATTAGACCCCATTTGTCAATTTTGGCTTTTGTTGCCGTTGCTTTTGGTGTTTTAGACATGAAGTCCTTGCCCATGTCTATGTCTTGAATGGTATTACCTAGGTTTTCTTCTAGGGTTTTTATGGTATTAGGTCTAACATTTAAGTCTCTAATCCATCTTGAATTAATTTTCATATAAGGAGTAAGGAAAGGATCCAGTTTCAGCTTTCTACTTATGGCTAGCCAATTTTCCCAGCACTATTTATTAAATAGGGAATCCTTTCCCTATTTCTTATTTTTGTCAGGTTTGTCAAAGATCAGATGGCTGTAGATGTGTGGTATTATTTCTGAGGACTCTATTCTGTTCCATTGGTCTATATCACTGTTTTGGTACCAGTACCATGCTGTTTTGGTTACTGTAACGTTGTAGTATAGTTTGAAGTCAGGTAGCGTGATGCCTCCAGCTTTGTTCTTTTGACTTAGGATTGTCTTGGCAATGCGGGCTCTTTTTTGGTTCCATATGAACTTTAAAGCAGTTTTTTCCAATTCTGTGAAGAAACTCATTGGTAGCTTGATGGGGATGGCATTGAATCTATAAATTACCTTGGGCAATATGACCATTTTCACAATATCGATTCTTCCTATCCATGAGCATGGTATGTTCTTCCATTTGTTTGTGTCCTCTTTTATTTCACTGAGCAGTGGCTTGTAGTTCTCCTTGAAGAGGTCCTTTACATCCCTTTTAAGTTGGATTCCTAGGTATTTTATTCTCTTTAAAGCAATTGTGAATGGAATTTCATTCATGATTTGGCTCTCTGTCTGTTACCAGTGTGTAAGAATGCTTGTGATTTTTGCACATTAATTTTGTATCCTGAGACTTTGCTGAAGTTGCTTATCAGCTTAAGGAGATTTGGGGCTGAGACGATGGGGTTTTCTAAATAAATACTATAAACACCTCTATGCAAATAAACTAGAAAATCTAGAAGAAATGGATAATTTCATGGACACTTACACTCTCCCAAGACTAAACCAGGAAGAAGTTGAATCCCTGAATAGACCAATAGCAGGGTCTGAAATTGAGGTGATAATTAATAGCCTACCCACCAAAAAAAGTCCAGGATCAGATGGATTCACAGCCGAATTCTACCGGAGGTACAAGGAGGAGCTGGTACCATTCCTTCTGAAACTATTCCAATCAATAGAAAAAGAGGGAATCCTCCCTAACTCATTTAATGAGGCCAAAATCATCCTGATACCAAAGCCTGGCAGAGACACAACAAAAAAAGAGAATTTTACACCAATCTCCCTGATGAACATCAATGCAAAAATCCTCAATAAACTACTGGCAAACCGAATTCAACAGCACATCAAAAAGCTTATCCACCATGACCAAGTGGGCTTCATTCCTGGGATGCAAGGCTGGTTCAACGTACGCAAATCAATAAACGTAATCCAGCATATAAACAGAACCAAAGACAAAAACCACATGATTATCTCAATAGACACAGAAAAGGCCTTTGACAAAATTCAACAGCCCTTCATGCTAAAAACTCTCAATAAATTTGGTATTGATAGAACGTATCTCAAAATCATAAGAGTTATTTATGACAAACCCACAGCCAATATCATACTGAATGGGCAAAAACTGGAAGCATTCCCTTTGAAAACTGGCACAAGACAGGGATGCCCTCTCTCACCACTCCTATTCAACATAGTGTTGGAAGTTTTCGCTAGGGCAATCAGGCAAGAGAAAGAAATAAAGGGTATTCAGTTAGGAAAAGAAGTCAAATTGTCCCTGTTTGCAGATCACAGTAACTTTTTAAAATGTTCACTGACAGAGGTAATACAGGAGTGGAAAACCAAAAACTGTAAGTTATCACTTATAAGTGGGAGCTAAGCTGTGAGTACACAGAGGCATGCAGAGTGATATAATGGACTTTAGACACTCAGAAGGGGGCTGGTAGGAAGGAGGCCAGAGATTAAAAAAACTACACATGGCCAGGCGCAGTGGCTCACGTCTGTAGTCTCAGCACTTTGGGAGGCCGAGGTGTGTGGATCACGAAGTCAGGAGTTAAAGACCAGCCTAGCTAACACAGTGAAACCCTGTCTCTACTAAAAATACAAAATTAGCTGGGTGTGGTGGCACACACCTGCAGTCCCAGCTATTGGGAGGCTAAGGCAGGGGAATCCCTTGAACCTGAGAGGTGGAGGTTGCAGTGAGCCGAAATCGCAGCATTGCACTCCAGTCTGGGCAACAAGAGCGAAACTCCGTCTCAAAAAAGAAAAAAATATATATATATACACATTAGGTACAGTGTATACTACTCGGGTGACAGGGGCACTAAAATCTCACAATCCACCACTTTATAATTCATCCATAACCAAAAACCACTTGTACTCCAGAAGCTATTAAAGCTTAAGTTAAAAATAAAAATAAAAAATAAATGTCCACTGACCAAAAAAGCAGCATTTTTCTCCATTCCTATTCCCTTCATTACCACCACTGATGATAATCCCACTTGTTCCCATGCTGGAAAAGCATTTAGTACCATCCACGTAAAAGAATCAAATTATTCAAGGGTTGAGATGCATTTCAGAAGACAGTCATGGCAAGTACAATGATTATCAATTCAAATCACAATTTATTTTCCTGCTCATAATATTTTTTCTTTTCTTCTCTTTTTTTCTTTTTTTTTTTTTTTGTGAGATGGAGTCTTGCTCTGTCTCCCAGGCTGGAGTGCAGTGACATGATCTTGGCTCACCGCAACTTCTGCCTCCTGGATTCAAGCGATTCTCCTGCCTCAGCGTCCCAAGTAGGTGGGACTACAGGCTCGTGCCACCACACCCGGCTAATTTTTTTAACTTTAGTAGAGACGGGGTTTCACTATGTTGGCCCGGCTGGTCTCAAACTCCTGAACTCGTGATCTACCCGCTCAGCCTCCCAAAGTGCTGGGATTACAGGCATGAGCCACTGCATCCAGCCTAATGTTTTTCTATTTTAAGAACAGTCTTGACACTTGTGAATATTCCATTCCTTCTTTTTTTTTTTTCTTTTTTTTTAGACTGGGTCTCATTCTGCCTCCCAGGCTGGAGTGCAGTGGCATGACCTCGGGGCACTGCAACCTCCACCTCCCAGATTCAAGTGATTCTCCTGCCTCAGCCTCCCCAGTAGCTGGGATTACAGGCACATGCCACCACACCCAGCTAATTTTTCATATTTTTAGTAGAGACAAGGTTTCACCATATTGACCAGGCTGGTCTCGAACTCCTGACCTCAAGTGATTCACCTGCCTCGGCCTCCCAAAGTGCTTGGATTACAGGCATGAGCCACCTCGCCCGGCCTCCATTATTTCTTTAATGCAATAAAATAAATAAATGTTTATTTATTGTTTATTGGGGTAGTTAGTTCTCAGATGCAGCAAGTGCAGTACTGCAGTTTTATTCATTAGCGGAAATAAATTATGAGTATTTAAATTACACAGCTTTCTCATGAATTATATCTCCCTGATGATTTGGCTGTCCTCAACACTTCCTCATTTGGCAGAATTCATGACTGGAATTTCTCCAGACATGGTCGGTTCCTGTGGCCCTGCTGGGCTACCTAGCACCACCTCCACTTGCCCATGGTTCCATTATGTCATGGATTATTTCAGTAACATTGTTTTCTCTTCTTTCTATTTGCATAATCTTATCCCTAACGAGACTGAAAACTAGGAACATGCCACTCCCAGGCTCCTTGGGACTTGACACATCCTCCTGGGATCATCTCAGGAAGGGGACTGGCTGTGCAGGCACCAAGGAGGTGGTGTTGATCTTTCTATGCAGCCTGTTGGCCCTCATTGTCCTGGCCAGTGCAGCTGAAAAGGAGAAGGAAACTGACCCTTTTCATTATGACTACCAGACCTTGAGGATTGGGGGGTTGTTATGTGCTGTGGTCCTCTTCTCCGTTGGGATCCTCCTTATCCTAGGTTGCAGATACAAGTGCAGTTTCAATCAGAAGCCCGGGACCCCAGGGGAGGAGGAAGCCCAGGTGGAGAACCTCATCACTGCAAATGCAACAAAACTCCAGAAAGCAGAGAGCTGAATGAAGTGCAGCCCTCCAGTGGGAAGCCTCTGGAACCTGAAGGCAGCTGCTTGAACTTTTAGATGCAAATGTTGATGCTTAAGAAAACGGCCACTTCAGCAACAAATCTTACTCCAAGAGAAGCTAAGAACTTGTGTGTCCCCCCACACCCTTCCCTGTCCCCTCTAACACCATTCCTCCACCTGATGATCCAACTAATTAATCTCTTGCCTCACCACTGCAGCCTGCAGGCTCCTCCAACTCCTGTGATGTGTCTGTGTGTGTGTGTTTGCTGACTCTAGTGTTCATGGCTACTTGTTCATGGTTATTACTGTTAGTGAACTGTGGACTCGCTTTCCTGGGCAAGGGCTGAGCCATGTAGCCATCTGCTCCTCTCTGCACCCCATCACCTCTCACTCCTGGGAGTCTGCTTTATTCCCTGGAGAGTCTAGCTCCTTCCCTTTAGAGCATGCGCAGGAGTCTCCAGTTGTCATGGGACCTGGGAAGGTTTACACCACTTTAATCATCTTTCTTCATGAAATCTCTTCACTTCTTTTACAAGAACCTCACTTCCTTATCCCAGTCCAACCCCAGTCTGTTCTGAAGATCAGCAATTGGAGATACAAAGCAAAGCAAGGAGTTTGTGAGCCCAGCACTGCCTTCAGCAGGCTACTATATTCTTCCATGTTTATTTTTCTCCCTGGGGAAGCCCCAGGGAGCCCCATCTGCCCTGCCTTTCACATAGCACCCAGGGATTCCAGTCCCAGGGCTGCTGCTTTTCTTTTCTTTTAAGTCAGAGTCCCACTCTGTCACCCAAGCCAGAATGCAGTGGCATGATCTCAGCTCACTGCAACATGGGTTCAAGGGATTCTCATGCCTGGGCCTCCCAAGCAGCTGGTACTATAGGCATCCAGCAGCACGCCCAGCTAATTTTTGCATTTTTAGTAGAGATGGGGTTTTGCCTGGCCTCAAGCAATCTACCTGTCTAGGTCTCCCAAAATTCTGGGATTACAGGTGTCAGCCACCGTGCCTATCCCAGGTCCAGGGCTTCTAATCTGCCCTTGGGGAATGTAGCCCTTGCATATCTTATCAGCAATAACCCCAGGGGCTCTGGTACCCTACCCCTCTCCAACCTTCCTGCTTCTGAGACTTCAATCTACAGCCCAGTTTTTCTGGACACAGGCTCCCATCCCTGAAGCTGAGTCTCCAGCAGGTGATGACTGCAGGATTCCCATTCTGTTGTGGCCAGCACACTGGAATGGACAGAGGGAGAGTAAGGGGCCTTTGCTTCTCTGCCCATGTCCCTTTGGTCAGCAGAAACAACTCCCACATCCTTTGTACTGCCTGTCAGTGGTCAGAGAGTTAAGTGAAGTAGGTTAGAGACCCAGTAGACTCCATGCAGCACTGCTGCAGAGGGTACAGGAAGAGGTCAAAGGTCTTAATGACAGTGGAAGCTCAAATGAGATCCCGCCCTCCCTGTCCTCCATGTGCCTGTGGAAATCAACCAAACCCAGCCTCTGTGGCCAGACTGCTGTTTTCTGTACCACAATCTGTCCTCTGAACAACAGAAAAAAGGAACAAAATATGTTTCCTAGTGGAAAAAAAAAAAAAAAAAACTATGAACAAAAAACAAGTAAACTTCACTTAATGGATTATTTTTAAAGTAAACAAAAATTTTGGGATCTTTTCTTGAGAATTAAAATATTATTTCAAGACTTTACATAAACTAACAACTTTCTCAACTGTGTTAGTGACAGGAGCCAATGAGTTTCTAACTGCAAAGGAAATGAAGAATATCGAATGCCAAAAAACTCACACAGTCCTTTAATCACTCAATTCTAACAGTGTAAATGCTGAAGTAAGAGAACAATTTTATGACAGTTACTTCAATGAAAATGCAAAGAACATCAGACACTATTTTGACTTCATGATTCAGAATGTGGACAGGAGGGCCTACAACTTGGAATCTTTACTTCAGCTTGGGCCAAGCACGTCTGCGCCCTTATGCAAACATCAACCACAATTTGTATTTGTATTATCGCCACCAAAAGCTATTCGGAAGAAAAGAGAAAATATCTTCTGCTTTGTGATTACTTGCATCCACGGATCTGGTGAAAATATGTGAGGCATTTAGATCATTGATCATCTCTGTGATCACAGTGAAGCTATCACTTTTGTTGTTGTTGCAGTAGATTTCATCTTGGCTCTTCAAAATTTGATTGCATCTTGGGAATCAGAAAATACTTCTAGCAGTAATACTTTCAAACTGTCATTTGAGCTGAAAGACTGCTGTTGATATATAGTGTGGCAGATGTTTACAACTTCCACTGCAATTACTATATCTCAATCTGAATTCTCTTTATTTTTTTATTTTTTATTTGTTTGCGACAGTCTCACTCTGTCACCCAGGCTGGAGTACAGTGGCGCAATCTCAGCTCACTGCAACCTCCACCTCCCAGTTTCAAGCAGTTCTCTTGCCTCAGCCTCCCGAGTAGCTGGAATTACAGGTGCTCCCCACCACGCCCAGCTAATTTTTTTGTATTTTTAGTAGAGACAAGGTTACACCGTATTGCCCAGGCTGGTCTCGAACTACTGGGCTCAGGCAATCTGCCCACCTTGGCCTCCCAAAGCGCAAGGATTACAGATGTGAGCCACCGCACCTGGCCTTGAATTCTTTTTAATAAAAAAAATTTGTTTACAATTTTATATAATATTAGTTGAGGAAATCATACATCTTCCATTTTTAGCTGTTGTTATGTGCTGGTGTCTTTTTCTTTTTGCATACCACACAAAAAGCTTCAAAAGAAATCTTTCCTCATTTAATAAATCTCCACTTTTCAAACAATTCATCACAAAGTTTATGCTTGAATTTTGGTATTTGGCATTCAAATATACACAAATAAAAATAGATAATAGCAACCACCACAAAAACTGAGCTGAGTTAATTTGGTAATCTCACAGCTGTCTTAGCGTGTCTGTCACTCACAAGTCTGAACTCAGAACTAACATCAAACTTGCAAACTAATAATCAATTGAAGTGGCCAGGCGCGGTGGCTCACGCCTGTAATCCAAGCACTTTGGAAGGCGGAGACTGGCGGATCACAAGGTCAGGAGATCAAGACCATACTTGCCAACACGGTGAAACTCGGTCTCTACTAAAAAAAATACAAAAATTACCCGGGCGTGGTGGCACATGCTTGTAATCCCAGTTATTCAGGAGGCTGAGGCAGTAGAATTGCTTGAACCCCGGAGTTGGAGGTTGCAGTGAGCCAAAATCACACCACTGCTCTCCAGCCTGGCGATGGAGTGAGACTCCATCTGAAAAAAAAAAAAAAAAAAAAAAAAATCAATCGAAGTAGAGTTGCCATTGAAGTGGCCTGAGATGGCTATCCTATTCTTGGCTGGTATCTGGGAACGTGCATTTTGGGAAGGTTTGGGAACCTGGATTTCAGAAGGGTTCCCCCAACCCTCACTGATCAAATGGCTCCATTGTACCTAAACAATATGGTTTCTGCGGAACACCTGCTTTTTTTCTGGGAATCTGGAATTTTGATTTGTGCACAATAGACAGTGTCTACATGACCAGACCCCAATAAAAAGTCCAGCGCTGAGTTACTAAGGAGCTTCTGTGACATTTTGCATTTATTGTCACAGTGTGTTGCTTTTGGAATTCAGCACATCCTATGTGACTCCACTAGGAGAGGATGCTTGGAAGCTGGTGTCAGGTTTCCTCTGGACATGGCCCTGTGACCTCTCCCCTTTGCTGATCTTACTGTAATAAGTCATAGCCATAGTGTGACTATATGCCAAGTCCTGTCAGTCCTCCTACCAATTTGTTTAACCCAGAAATGTTCTTGTGAATCCTCAATACAGCTGGCATCAGAAGCAAATTTTTTTACTTCTCACTCTGTCACCCAGGCTGGAGTGCAGTGGCACAATTATAGCTCACTGCAGCCTTGAACTGGGCACAAGTGATCCTCCTGCCTCAGCTGGGACGACAGGTATGTATCCTCCCGAGTAGCTGGGACTACAAGCACGTGCTACCATCCCGGGTTCTTTTTTTTTCTGTAAAGATGGGGTCTTGCTATGTTGCCCAGGTTTATCTTGAGCTCCTGGCCTCAAGTTATCCTCCTGCCTCAGCCTCTCAAAGTGCTGAGATTACAGGTATGAGTCATTGCACCTGGTCCAGAAGTGGAATTTGCTAGAACAACCCTGACTCACTAAGATTTGGCTCCATTACTGTTTAGGAAAAGGAAGAATGAAGGGGAACGGTGATAAGCCTTTGATAACTGGGTGTCTATGGAGTCCTCCATGGTTTGAGAGCCACAGCTGAACTGCTTTCTGCTGTTAGAAGCCACAGTGATCTATGGGGTTAGAAACGGATCCAACCCTGGCTTCTTTGAGCTGTGCTGGATGAAGTGAGGGGGGAAATATGCACCTGGGTGATGCCTTTGTTTTTTGTTCTCTTCTCCAGGTGGGAGGTAAGAAAAACAACAGTGGCAAATTATAAAGGTGAGTATTGGGTGGCTCCAAAATGTTAAAAGTTCTCAGAGCTGGAGCAAAGCTGGTGTGGGAGGGTGGGGAGGATGCCAAGACTCTATCCAGCCTCTTCTTCAGCCCAGCTGCTGCCCTGTTGCAAGAGCTGCCTCTTTCTTTGCCACCCGTGTACCCTCCCCCATCTGCTTTCCAACCTGAATAGTTCCCACAGCAGTAATGCTAACCTAACTGCAAATGCTGGATTTACTGCTATGGGTTTAGTTTGCAATAGAAAAAAATGTTTAATGGTTTTGTGTTTTGTGGCTATTACATCTAGATGTATTAATATGATAAAATTGATATAACATGTTAAATGCTTTCAATTTCATAAATTCTAGTGGGAGCACACTGATCAGGAAAAGCTGCAGAGGAAAGTGAGTGGGACACAACTTCCTTGCTTTTTGCAGCTAGTGGGCAGCTTGGAATTTAAATGCTCAATACTGGAAACAGAACAATTCTCCAAAATTAACAATTTTTGCTACGTTTTTTGCCTATTGGAGTCACTGGAAAAAAAGGAGACAATATGAAGAGAGGCAATCTTGAGCTAGAGATATGCTTTGGAATTTACAAATCTGCTTTTCATCTCTAATGAGCTCTTGTAAGATCATATAGCTGACACTCAGAGGCTGATGATTTTCTGGCCCCATGTGTATAGTTTTGAGTTGGTCAGCTTGGACCCTAAGGTGAATAAGGTAAACAGAGCCCAACAAAACCTTGCTTGTCACTCGGCTAAGAACACAGCTGTCTGGCCCTGCAGCATCTCAGTCTCCAGTTACTGGAAGAAAATATATTAGATGTTGGAGAAACTATAAGGC